AATAATTCCATAAAAATAAAGGATAAAGCATTTGCCGTTGATCAATCCCTTTTTGGGATGCGGCACGCATTCTACTTCCATTTGTACATTCGTAGTGGCGTTTGAATGCGATGTGGCCTATACAATGACTTGCGGGGCCAGCCGATGTACAAGTCAGTGTTTTTATCCTCCCAGACAAGTCTGGTACCAATTAACCGACCCCGGAGGGATGGAAGGCTTGGTTGGCCCGGGCGACCCAGGATTTGATCCCCGGACCGCTCGCGTGGTAAGCGTGCCACTTGCCACTACACCACTTCCGCCCTAGGATAAGAATTGAAATATCGCTAGCGCAAGTCAATGAGGACAAAGACCTGAACGTTTGTAAACGATAAGACTTATCATCACGGACAGTTTAAATACGGCAAAATGCAAGAGAGTCAGCTCCTTTCCCAAAGGCAACTAACAAGTTAGGTACTGGTACGGAAAAGCCGCTTTCAGCTACAGTCTGAGCTGACTTACGCATACCAATAGCGTGCCGTCTTGTGGAGGGTGGACGGTACTTGAAGAAAACCACATACCGTATTCATAAATTGTAATTACTTTGTCATCAGACGCACACGCCAGAAGGTCACCATCATGCGACCATCGTACACAATTCACACCAGCTGAAATTTCAAGAAAAAAAAGATGGAATAAGAAAAGAGCTACCAAAATATTATTTTAACGAGGTGAATTGGTTACCTTGATGTTGTATCCTCGCCAGGATTTTGTGGCAAGCAGTGTCGGCGTAGGCTTTCTCGCTTTGAATTGGACGAAGGTTCCATATAATGACAAGGCCGCATCCTCCGACCTGCAACAACAGTAAGTTTACCCTACTGTTGCTGAAGGCAGTGGGTAAGCTCCCCATGGACCGTCCAACATGACGAAAAATTTGAAGGGCTAACAGTAAGGTTGTAGCAGCGAAAACAAACCAAGTATAAAACCGCCTGATCTAGCGGGATGACACCTTTATTTTACTCGTTGATTTCAGCGCTGGACGAGATTTATCAGCAGCCTACTTCGTCAACGCTAGCATCTTGCTCTGCATCATTTCGGGAAGGGCTACAGTGTCGACTGACAAGGACACGACTTCAGCTTTATTTTGTTTCGTGGAAGTGTGCTTTGTGAGAGTGAACTTCGGTTGCTCTTCGAGTCCTGTGGCATTTGATAAGGAAAGTGATGAGCCGGAATAAGTCACACGTGACCAAGTTGGCTCCCTTCCAGCATTCTCGACCTGAGCGCACAGCCGTCAATTTCCGACCTTGCCAATACTATGCACCCCGAATTCCATGCATTCTGCTCAAATATTCTATCACCAAACACCTTTGTGATTCAAAAACGACTCACACAGAAGTATCTCGCAGGGATCATAATTGTAACACTTATGTCACCTCTGCACGCGCCCATATTGAAGGAATCCTTCCCCGAAAAATGTGATTCTATCTCACCCATAATCACTGGCTTGAGACCCATCATTCACGATAAGAACGAAAAGAACAAAAATTGCATTTGTTTTGGTAAAAATTCGAAAAACGAAAGGGCTGCTACGCGTTCAAATTCCCGCCGGACATCTGTCACAAATGCTGGCGACGGGAACGCTTCCACTTGGTTCACGGAGTGCTGTCTCAAACTTTCTCGACTTTTGAGTATCTAAGAAAACTCACACTTCTATTGCTATCTATTCTACTAATCGTTTATTTCTATCTCGAAATGCGCCACTTAAGTCGATTTTGTCCATCATCGCCTTGGCTACGCAGCCGATAACGAAGGCGCGACTCTTCGTCTATTCCGCCTTTGGCGCCGCGCGACCTATCTTCGACTGTCCATGGAGTGTAGTATTCATAAGATTCTCTTCTTAAAATGAATCTTCGTGCGTGAAACTTTGTATGTTGTCTATAGTTATCACATGACAATTTGTATATGCGAAGTAATGCAACAATCTACGAGGGAAAGGGAATTGTCTTGAACACGGGCGAAAGTATAATACTATGAAACTGCGGTGTTAAAACTCACATCGCCCTGTCCGCAAGTGGCTAATTTATCCATTGTTGGATGGATGTCCACAGAGTAGATTGCACCACCTGTAACAATTCAACATTAAAACTGCCGATATGCGAAACTGATATGACTGTCAAAGAAAACGGAAGATGTCCAGAGTAAAGTCTTCACGTTTCATGGTGAACCGAGTCGGATTAGGCATGCAATATCGTGAGCAACGCACACGAAAACTAATCGAAAATCCAAGTTCGTCGTTGTTCAGATGAACACTTGAAAAATTCAAGCAAATTTCGCTACAGCTTTATAGCCATTGAGGCATCTTTCGGTGTTCTACACAGCAGCTTGGCATCCTCTCAAGCTCAATTTCCTAAGGCCGATGTCAGACTTTGCGAATCGCGCGATTCGCTAGCGTCTGCGGTCGCGTCGCGGCCAGTGAATCACTCAATTGGCTGGTACCGCAACGCGACCGCGGACGCTAGCGAATCGCTAGTAGCGAATCGCGCGATTCGCAAAGTCTGACATCGGCCTAAATTGGCAAAGCCATTCCCCCTAGAGGGACCCTTCGACAATAACCCACGATTGCTGGACCCATCTACAAATGTGTTAGCAGACGAATACACAACTACATAGAGGTACCCGTAAAAATCCCAGCTTCTCAAACTGCTACCAATCCGCATGGAGTCAAAACAGCACCCCAACCCACTCTCACAACTACATTACCCAATCTGTCGAACCCTCATAAAACTCCCATCAAGATACATAATGACGAATACACATCATACACAAATCAGATTGCCCTTCATCTTTATGGACAAAATTATTGACAAGAAAAAAAAACAGAAAAAAAACGAAAAGAGGAATAGTTTCATAAACTCTTATACATTCTGAGGTAAGGATCACTGGTATACAAAAAAAAACGATTTCTGTAGTTCGATGAGAAGTTTGGGTTGTACTAAATTCGGACGCAGCCACTGCTGTAGACCTCAGGCGCGGCACGTTTGGCGGTCACCCCTGATTGGTGGGCACTGGCCAGCAACCAATCACAGGTGTCGCACGCACGAGCGCATCGCGCAAGCCATCTGAGCGTCATAAGAGGCACTGCGACCGAATTCACAATATTTCTTCAGAGAAATCAAGACATTTCTAGGAGAAATCTAACAATTGCTCCAATTTGGAAAAATCTTCGAAAAACAAAACTTTGAAAAAAAAATTCAAAATAGGGGAACGCAAGGGAGACACACTTACGATCACGCAACCGCTTCGCAAAGGCTGCATGGGATTCGGTCATCTTCAGATCGGAAAAGTCACTTTAAAAAAGCAATACAAATACACACATCACAATGGATCTCAAAATGACGGTAGTGAAATCGCATATCAAGAGGTTTCAATGCACCTAGGCAACATCATGAAGAGAAACCTTATCTGAGGATATTATCGTCAATCATAAATCACCTTACTTATGCCAGTTAAAACCAAATAAAAAAACACCGCCTAAATATTTACATTTTTTTGCGAAAATATTATTTTTGTATTATTTTTTCTATATGCGAAACTAAAGAATTGTTACCATAATATGAGTCAATGACAAGGCCGTTCAAAGAGCAGTAAAGCACATAATGCACAAATTTAACACATGTAGGTATTACACGGAACCAACGGGATATATATCACACCAGGAAAACTGTCAAAGCTCAGAATCGTTACCGTATATGTTATTTCGTCGAAGGAGTCATTTTAGTAGGAAAAAAGGTGGAAAAGTCAGGCTGTAAGTACCAAAGTACGCAATACCCATTCATCAGCGCGCTTTAAAAGAAAGAGATGATAAGGCAAAATTTGCGAGAGCTTCGAGAGTCGGAAATTAAAATGAGAAAACCACCTGTAAAAAAACTGTAACTTGAAAAAATGAAGCGAATTGCCAAAACATTCATTGGATCCGCAAAATAAAATTTGAAACGGAAGTACCAACGAACGGCACAATTTTTGCATTTCTCGTTCATTTTGACGAAATTGGAAGCCAGATAGTCTGTTCAAAACTTCAGTCCATTCTAATAATTCCAGGACCTGCAGGACCGAAAAATCTTGAGCTTCAAAACTCGCATTCAAATTTTTCAAAGCTCTGACGTACATATGTGAAATTTCAACCTGAAAAAGTCCAAGTTCCAATTTACTGCGGTAAGGTACGCTAAGCAGCGCATCTCAGTGAACTTACCTCTAATTTGAGCATTCTTCAAAAGCTTTCTAAGGTGATATCCCAAGTCTGAAACCCTGCAATCGTTTCCACTTTAGCCCTTTGTTACGGTAACGATTCCGACTTCCTGTTTGGATAATACAATACTTACACCGTGTCTTCTGACACACTCATATGACTTCCCAGAAGTTATGAAAAAAAGCGACGAGAAATCCCGTGAAAGCCAATAAAAACAGCAAGCAATTAAAAAAATGCACGATCGTGTCGGTAAAAAAGAGACTGATAAAGAATACAAAAACGAAAAAAGAAACTTATCGCACCCTCCTTCAAAAATTAAAGCGTAGGTCTTCACTCAATATACAGACAGAATATTGACTTTGAAAAGCTTAGAAAACAAGATTTTTTTCGTTACTTTTATACTCTCCTTTTGAAATTGTTCTGACACAAAATTCTGTCCGGTGAGAAGAAGACCCACACTACGACAATTGAAGGTGGAAAAATTACTGGAGAAATTTGGTTGTTCTACTGTATATGGGATTATGATACCTGTGGTAATGCTTATACAATAACACTCGCCCCTTAAAGGATTCAACAAATCCTTTGGAACTCGTCTCCATCCCTTGCAGAAAACTGGAGGCAATTTTGATGGCATCGCTATTGGAAGGTCGAATCTACGAAGCGCTCGTGTTCGTGCTACAGCTCATTGTCCGATCCCGACCGTGAAATTGACGTACCGGAGGCTGTTGTACCGGTACACATGCATGAAGAAGATGCACCTGCAATTATGTGTATTTGTCACGTTGGAGACCGCGCATGTTTCACATTTTGCGGCCACGTGGGACTTCAGTGAAATTTTCAGGGATATTATCAAGCAAACAGGAAAGAAACCTTACTGCATGATGAAGAAGGAACCTTATCGAAAGAAATCAAGAAGAGAAAAAGTTAATATCTGCCAGAACGTAAAGATATCCCCAAACGGTGTAGCTGCCGCGCTTTCGCGCATTGAATAGGATGCTAGGCTTTGCCGTTGGTGCCTTCACTGCTCCTTACAACGTATTCGATCTACGCGCCTTACTATCTGCGTCTCACCCACCCCTATGTTCTCTCTTTTGTTCTCTCGCCTTGGCGCGTACTCCCTCTGATATTGTCTGTTTCAAAAACCTTCCACCACCAGAAAGACCAGGTCCCCATTCTGACTGATTTCTTGTTTCTCCTTCAGGGTAATCCACTTCGCCCGTCCACTTTCATTTTCGACCGCTATAACCACATTTAAGAAAACGTGGCCTATGCCTATGAGTAAAATTCAGGAAGTTCAGCAGCAACTCACGCCATATTCTCGGAGCAAATCGTCCGACATCCGAATGGTGTCGAATGGTCCTCTTCGAAAGCCCTTCGTAGAAAGAAAGTCAGCACGCAGATTTTTATCCATGAACACAGCTCGAGAATGCCTCATGCATGTGCGAATGTAGCGGAACACTGAAACACTAGAAATCCAGATCTGACATCACAATTCAAAATGATCAGTTACGTAAAATTGATCAGTTTACTTTTAGAGATGCGTCAAATATTCTGATACTGTTCGAAATTTTCGCACGGCAGCTACCACAAAAAAGATTGTTATCTTTAATTTATTTACCACTGTTCTGAAAAAGTTATCAGTAAACTTTCCCGAGCAGAGAAACTATCATGTGCTTGGGTAATGATAATATTACTGCTAAGTTATTGGTTGTTGAAGAGTAAACAACAAGAACTTGAGGAGATGCACACGTAACCTATCAAAGGTGGTCCGCAATTGGTCAAACAGAATGCAATATAATATATGATATATAATATTAATATATGTAGTATAGCACGACATCACACAATATGCGCTGCTACTTCTCCGCGCTGACACCTCTGCGTCTCTGCCTTCTTGTCGCGTGAAGGGCCTGCTGCCGCGGAAGACGTTCAGTTCTCCTCCTGGTTCAGGTCACAGAGCTGCGCGATCATTGAACACTAAGGTTAAGCTTGGGTTTAGGCTCAGAGTTAGGCTTAAAGCTTGGGTTTAGGCTAGAGTTAGGCTTATGCTTACACATTGGCTTATGCAAAGCCTACGACTGGGCCTAGGCTTAGTCCTAAGCTTGCGTCGAGCAAAGAAATGGTGTCTCAATTTTAGGTGACCTGACCTGAGGAGGAGAACTGCAACGCACCCCCTGTCGGGTATCCCAAATTTCACCATCTATTCTTTTTTAAATATTGCTCATTTTCATCTCTTTCTAATGCACAGCAGAAGGCAATAGCGAAGAAATGTTGAAAGTATTATGATCATTCATCCCAGTAATGTCGTACTCCCATTTTAGTCCATTCTCCTGATGGTTTATTGGTCCCGAAAAAAAAACCAAACATATTCATACCATTGGAGTGCTCAATCAAGCTTCAACCCACATACAGTACATCCTCTGTGATCGCCCTACTTTCCTTAGCTCGCACTCTGGCCACTTCAACAGAGTTCATCACCAGGGTGAGGCAACGACGAGGCCTTAGGCTGATATGACCCCCATGCGGGGTCCTCCGCCTCCAGATCCTGCTCCTATCTTACTTGACACCATACCTGACTCCTAGGGGTGTCCCTCCCTAAGCGAAGCTGGGACGGGTAGAGTATATTTTTACTGCATTCAGAGCCGAGAAAAAATTGGAGCGATGATATGTTAGCGAATTTATTTGAAAGTAATTTGCATAAAACTCGTAGAGATATCCTAGGAGTAGCGAAATAACTAGGAAGAACCAATTGAGCCTCTCCTTTCGACTGCGGGAAAAACCTCTTTCAACTCGCTTTCATAGAGGATCCTTCAGGTATCGGGTGAGTATAGCAAACGCCACACCACTGTTAGCGAGGAGCTCTGTCGGGTCACCATGTTTTTGAAGTGGAATGCTATGTTTTTTACGACTTGCTTATTCGACGTTTTTCTAAATTTACTACAGTTACACTATTGGGAATAATCAAACTATGGCATATGTCTAGGTCCAGGATGAACGAAAAACAAAAGCAGCTTTCATTTCCGCAAACTTCGAGAGAACCCCTCTTCCTACAAATCCATTCGAAAGTTAGTCTGTTTCGGGTTTGTTTGGGAGATGGCGGAATATTTCATGACTGTTCTGGAAGTGTAAAGGTTGTGAAGCTTTGAATACTTTACTTACTGTCATCATCGACTCCTTGTGCAAGATTGTGATCAAGTTCGAAAGGATCTCGGATCACCATCGGACATCGATACCATCTGCCAACCTTTGAGACTTGGCCAGGTGTGTTAATTTGGATGATCTGGAAAAATGTAAACATTGCCAAAATCAAAGTAAACAACTGATCATTAAGTAGAAGACAGACGACATAGGACAACTCACATGAGCGTCGTACTGGAAGTGATTGGAGAAGTAATCCAAAAATCCTACGAACAACTCGTATACGCTTATTCCCACACGTTGTGATTGACCGACCTGGAATACCAGCATACTTGGTATCCGACAGGAGGCCCGTCGTCGCGCGGCGAGAAGGTGGAAACGCAGACGAGTCAGCTGAACAGACGCAGCACGTACACTAGTGATTTCGCGTCATGTTAAAAAGAATGTACTAAATACGTTCCAAATCACATAGCACGCGCTACGACTCGTCCGCTGACCCGTCTGCGTCTCTGCCTTTCCGCCGCACCACGGACCACCTGTCGACAGCCGCATACTTCACGGTCAAAAAGATGACACAAAAAAGGAAATCAAATAAGTCAACGATGACCCAAGTATGGGATACCTTATAGCATTTAAATTG